AGAACATGGATGAAAGTATCAGAACAATGAGAACATGGCTGAAAGTAATCAGAACAGTAAGAACATGGCTGAATGTCTCAGACCAGTGAGAACACAGCTGAAAAACTCAGAACAGTGAGAACATGGCTGAAAGTCTCAAACCAGTGAGAACATGGGTGAAAGACTCATACCTGTAGGACAAAGCTCCAGCAAAGTGGCTTTCAATGTAGGTGTCCATGACTGGTTTGAAGTGTTGGAACTTACTGTCCTGGAGAAGGTTGATGATATGGACCTAGAAATCAAATAAAATATCTCTTAATGTAAAGAATATAACTCTCATTGCAAGTTATCAACTTTAAATTATTCAATTCAGTTTATTTATACAACGCCAAATCACAACAAAGTTGTCTCAGGGCACGTTACAGGAACTTTCACGTACATAAAAGCCAATTAGTAAAGTTCACTATCTAAGGAATCCAGCAGACAAGTTGAATCTTGGCTTTGTTGCAGTCTCCCATCCTGAGCAAGCACAGTGGCAACAGTGGAAAGGAAAAACTCCCTTACGTTTAAAATTTCCCATTTTATAGAATTGTTACAACTTGTTTCAGTGTTCCATCAAATCTACACAATTTAACATTTATTCAACCCAAGTAAAAATATTGTATTTACTGGCCCCTACATAAAAGCTAACATAACCTCCACTGCATTAGCAAAGTTCTTAATGATTTTACATGTCTTTTAGCAAAATATCTTATCAACCACCGGATGGATTTTACTGAACTGCTCAGAAAATATCCAGAGGATGAACATAAACAACTGATTAACAATTGGAGTCATTTCAAGGTGGCCACCTCAGCAAATCAGCCTTAGTAAACACGAAAATATCAAGAGCCCTATCAATTTAACAGATGTTCGACTAGAATCTAATGTGGTAGTAGTTGAGAGTCATTACGAGAACATACTCAAAGCTCTAACAGATTTCAGAAGATCTTGCAACTCTTGATATGAAAGGTGGCTGGTGATGTATATTCCTTTAATTTACGATAGGCATTTATTATCCGCTTTAGTGGCTTCGCAAGTCTTAATAAAACAATATATTTTTAAGAACATGATAAATATTTTTGGTCAGTCTGACAAATTCCTTTGTTCTTTGTTAAACTAACGTCAAACCTATATGTACACAATTTTAATTAAATAAATTTTACATACACATATATACACATATACCAGTGTGCGTATGTGTATTTATATATATATAAATAATCCAAATAACTCCAGGTAAAATCCTTTTGTGTGTCGATGCACGTCATATTTCCTTAGCATGCAGGTTGTTGAAGATATGTCTGCTTGTCCTGATCCAAACCACAAGAAGCAAACTTGATATGAGCAGCAGCTCAGCAGACTTTTTCATCTTTGATATCACCAGCATGTAAGGAGAAGTGTTGCTCCTGTCTCTGTGTGAGGCTTGTGTAGACAGACACACGGAGAATGAAGAGAAGGTGAAAGAAATCGATCTTTAGCTTCTGCTTGCTGTAGCATGACATGGCTCGGATTGGTTCAGCAAGCTATGAACCGTTACATCTCTGTTTTTTTTTTTTTTTTTCTCTTAAAAGCCCGTGTTTCTGTGCGAGCTGTTTTTAGATGAGATCAGAAGGTGTTTGCCATATACAGAGAAATGGAAAACTGAAGAAAAAGAAAAAATCAAAGGCCTATGCTGAGAAGAAATGGAGCGATGCGGTTTGCAAAAGCTTGGAAATAATGCAGTCTGTTAGTGCTCAACGTGTGTGTTATGAATGATTCTCAGATACCAAAATGTTAGCTCCATAGCTGTAAAAGTGACTGAAATTAGCCATTTTTGTGTTTGACAAGGGTGGTTCACGGTGACTGGCAGTGGCGCCTCCAGAAATTTATAAATGAGGTGGCCGTGTGGGGAGGGGCATTGAAAATCCTGGGGTGGCACACCAAAATTAAAAGCCAGAACATAATTTCAGAAATTTGATTATATAAAGCAACGATATGAAAACTTTAGCAATATGAGAGGAATTACCAACTGATGTGGCTCAATTTCTTGTTTTACAGCTAATATTTATGACTGTCATGTCCACAAACCAGAACAATTAACATTTAGTTCCACAACAGTCCAGTTTCAATGGGTCTTGTGTATATTTACATACACTTGTAATGCTACAAGTTGTCCTTACGTTAAGCTTTTTGTCCTTTTCCCTTTAAAAAATGTCAGATTTACATCTTTAATTTGAAGTGGTACATTAAATATAACAATTACTCGAGACAAGCTTTCTTAAGTTTAAAGCCATTACTTCTTCTAATCATTTAAAAAAACATTTTTATTGGCTTGTTGCTGTGTACATTTGTAGAAAAAAAGTTGTTTTTTTTAAATAAATGTATAAATTTTTAA